ATCATCATCATCATCATCATCATCATCGTCATCGGCATCATCATCGTCATCATCATCATCAACATCAGCATCATCATCATCAGCATCAGCATCAGCATCATCATCGTCATCATCAGCATCATCATCATCCTCATCATCATCATCACCATCATCATCGTCATCACCATCACCATCACCATCATCACCATCATCATCATCGTCATCATCAGCATCATCATCATCATCAGCATCAGCATCAGCATCAGCATCAGCATCATCATCATTATCATCATCATCATCCTCATCATCATCATCACCATCATCATCGTCATCACCATTACCATCACCATCACCATCATCACCATCATCATCATCATCATCATCGTCATCGTCATCGTCATCATCACCATCATCATCAGCATCGTCGTCGTCGTCGTCATCATCATCATCATCATCATCATCATCCGCAGCAGCATCAGCATTAGCATCAGCAGCATCCCCATCATCATCATCACCATCATCAACAGCATCAGCATCGTCGTCCTCAACATCCTCATCATCATCTGCAGCAGCAAAAACATCATCAATATCTTCAGCACCATCAGCATCATCAGCATCATCATCATCATGGTCATCACTATTATCATCCTATTCATCGTCATGGTTATCATAAGCATCATCATCACCCCCATCATCATCACCAACATCATCAGCATTATCATCAGCATCATCATTGCCACCATCATCAAGTTTATCACCCGCATCCGAATCAGCATCCTCATCACTGTCATCAACACAACCAATACTACAATCGTCAATGCCATCAGCGCCAGCATCATATAAGCACGAATTTCATCAGCACCAACACCCACGTCAACAAAGGAAACACTATACGTAAGCATTATATCCGCCACCCAGAACAACAACCATAACAACATCAAAAACACTAACAAACATAATAACAACAGCAACAACAACAACAACAACAATGACGACGACGATAACCACAACAGCAACCACCAACACAACAACCATGCCTACAACAACAACAAACAAACAAACAAACAAACAAACAAACAAACAACAACAACAACAACCACAACAACAACCACAACGACAACGACAACAACAACAACAACAACAACAACAACAACAGTACCCAAGAACGTCCGACAAACACGAAGAACGTTTGGGCACCCTCCCCAAACCGACTGTAGCTGGAAATGGCAAGCCATGGACTGCTGGGGGCAGCCGAGTGGTGGCGCCGCCATGACCACGACGATCCAGCAGGTGCTGGCGAGCTTGCCACTGGAGACGCAGATGAAGGTGCTACAAGGTGTTGCGAGGAGAGTGGGCTACGGATTTCGCTCAGGTTCCGTGCGGGACGATGGCGCCCGCAGACATGATGAACCTGTCAAAGCTTAATTCGATGACCGTGTCTGAAATCCAGGCATGAGCTAGCAAGCCCAGAGTTTTAAGCGCCGCGGAAGTGCAGACTAGATCTGTCAAGCAAATTCCCAGCAGCGCAGCTTCCGCAGCAGAAACATTCAAAAGGACACCTGCAGCGTCAAGTACGCGGGCTGAACAGCCGCGCGGTGATCTTGCGAAGGGTGGACGCCACATTGTGTCGGTAAAGCCGAACGAATGACTAGGTCAGTACGTACGAGGGCTCCACCAGATGTTCAAAAACGGCCCCGACACGGAGCGGGTAGTTCTTCGGACGCTCATACCACTGATGAGTATCTGCGCGGTCCTTATCAGCAACTCGGCCTCAATTCAGCACTGTGCGCGTTACTTGCCTGGCAAAGCGGAACATGAAGACAACGTCCGTGTATCAGGGTATGCGGTCGACTCGGCGAAATTTGGACCATGCTGAGCGAGGCTGATGATCAGGGTGCTAACGTCGAAGTCAACGTGAACAATGGAGAGATCCAGGTTGGGTCCACTACTGCAAAAGCTTTTGCGTTCGGCTCAATGAGCTGCTGAACAGGTGTGATGAAGCCAGGAAGGGTATTCGCTTATGAAGCCAGGTGTGATGAAGCCATGTGATGCGGTTAGGAGAAGTCGCTTACAGCTATACCAGAGCGAAGGAAAGGGCAAGCATTGTTCGAGCCGCTCGGAATTCCGAAGGCCGTTCTGAAAGGCATTCATCAAGCCAAAGCATTGTGTCTCTACTCCGTCTTCGTCATCAGTTTCACTAGCTGGACAAAGGCAAGCCTGGCGAACCAGGAGATGTCGGTGGTGAACACTGTCACGGCTGACACCAAGGCGAGACTTGAGGAGTTCAGAGACAGACTGCGCAGAAAGACTGGGCTTGGTCGAAGCGCCTGCGCTGCGAGAGCACCATGACAACGAATGCGCAGACAACTGGAAGGCCAGCGTCGGAAGGAAACCGAAGCCTCGGAGTGGGTCTTCCACTGCGGCCGTGCGCCAGCACGAGGCCTGCGTCGCCTGCCGGATACCAACGCTGCTCGCCCTGTCAAAGGGTGAGGCAACCACGAGAGGACACGGGGGTGGCCGGAGGGGCGAGGGAGATACTTCCGTACGCCCAGAGAGCCTCCCGCCGACTCCAAGGCCTGAGCCTACAGGGCCGAGGGTGCGAAGGACAAGGGAAACAAAAAAAGAAAAGACGTGGGCCTCCCCCTGGGCCACACGGGGCACAGCCCCTCGGGCCTCAGGGCAAGGCGCGCCCGACGGGCGCGACGCCGAGGGCCGTCGCCGGCCGTGCGCCCCGAGCGTCGGGGCGGCCCTGCGGTCCGCGGGCGCGGCTCGCGCCCGCGGTCCGCGGGCGTGCGCCACCCGGGGCGAGGCAGCGGAGCAGGCGCTGCTCGCTGCGGCCCGGCCGTGTCAAGAGCGGGCAGGAGGCTGCCGCGTGCTGCTCGTCTCGCTCCCCCTGGAAGATCAAGACAGGGGAAGAAGAGCTGTGCACATGCACCGATTCTGGCCAGGCCCATCCTGGGCCCAGGATCGATGCCTACGCCCTCCTGCGTGGGCCAGGAAGGCACATGCACCGACCCTGGGTCAAGGATGGGCCTTGCCAGGATCGGTGCATGTGCACAGCTCTCTTCGCCCGAGCTGCCGCGTGCTGCTCGCCTCGCTCCCCCTGGAGGAGCAGCGAGCGGGGCGCCTCGGGCTCGGCGGTGCGAGTGCGGGGAGCCCGGGCCCGGCCGGTGGGCGGGCCAGCGGATGACGTCCGTCAGCTCGGGGGGGGCCGACGATGCCTCCCGGCGTGAAGAGAAAGAGACGGAGGCGACTGAGAGGGTGGCATCTGTACACCCTGCGAGATGCTTAAGAAATCATGGGTTAAGAAATTCAGAGTCTCAGAATTTGAAGAAAGCCCCCAATTTCTACTAAAAAGTTAGGTTTTCCATTGAAGCAATAAGAATAATCGAGACTCTGGCCGAAAACGTAAGTTTTCTTAAGCATCGCCTAAGGTGTAGGGGGACGAACCGTGACATAAACAGAAAAACTCGAAGGTCCGCGCGGACTTCTCGGATCCGCGCTGGACCCCCCCTGGCGGCGCCTCCGGCGCCACACCTGGCGCGCTCCGCGCGCCAGGGAGGGGGGTCCAGCGGCGATCCGAGAAATCCGCGCGGACTTCCGAGTTTTTATATCTATGTCATTGCTCGTTTCCCTAATCGAAGATCCGCCCTCCGCCATCGGAGTTGCCAGCTGGAGTAGCGCTGCGTGTGCACGCGCGCGCCGCCCGGGAGCCTCGGGCACATCGACGTCGAGGCCCGCCAGAGCTACACCTGCGGACACACCGAGACTGTAGCCTTGCCTTGCGCCTGCGGGAAATCACATCGTTGCGATGTTGTGATCTTGCATGTTGAATCTTGTCTGTCAGCGAATCTTCATCAAATGAGCAAGACACAAAGCCCAAGGGTGGACCGACGCTTCAAGCGTTGACACAGAGAGTATGATGTGAAGCGAGGCATTAAGATACTCTACTATACCACATGCGCCCCCCCTCTTCCCACCTCCCACCTTCCTCCCTCCGCCTGCCCCATTTCCTACCCCAAACCCTCCCCCTCCCCCTCTCCAACCCTCACCCCCACCCCACTCTTCCCAACCCCCCTCCCTCTCCTCCAAACTCCCCCTCCCTTCACCCCTCCCTCCTCCCACCACCTCCCCCCTCCTCTAACACCCTCCCACACCCCGCGCGCTGTGGCCTCCTCGTGGCAACACACCCGTCACCGCAGAGCGCTAGAGCCTCTCGCTCTAAGGGCAACTCGCCGCCGTCTCACGCGCAGAGCTGCTTCCAGAGGGCTAGAGCCTCGTCCATCTGCTCTTGGGTGATGTCATTGAAGAGGCGCGCCACGCCATGGCCGGTGGGCAGCGGGATCTTTTGGCCCTGTGAGAACTTGATCCGATCCTTGAGCGAGACGGCAACCTGCGCGGAGTCCATCCTCTCGTGGTAGACGGGCAGCTTGAGGCCGCGCGCTGTCGCGATGATGGACTCGAGGTACGGCATGCTGATGTGGCCGCGCACGTGGGCGAGGACCGACGAGAAGACCATGTCGATCGCGACGGCCTCCCCGTGGAAGAGCTTCTCATCGTGCAGCACCGACATCTCGAGCTCCATCGAGAAGACGTGCCCAAAGTCGACGAGCCGCTCGAGGGAGTCCTCCCATAGGTTTGGCGCGAGCTCCTCGAGCATCGTCTGGATGGCGAGGTTGAGCACGCGAGCGGAGGCGACGGAGCCGCCGGCGTCGGCATCCTGGAACTTGCCATCGATCAGCTCCTCGCCGTGGTTGGCGAGCAGCTCGTACAATTCGCCGTCCTTGACCAACGCCATCTTGAGGATCTCAGCGGCACCATTGGAGAGCTGTCGCTGGTCGAGGGAGCCGAGGAAAGAGCGGTCGAGCAGCGTGAGCGCTGGTGGCAGGTAGGCGCCGAGCTTGTTCTTCTGGCCGACGAAGTTGACGCCAGTCTTCGCACCGATGCTCGCGTCGACATACCCCATCACCGTCGTCGGCACGCGGATGTACGGCGTGCGACGGCGGTAGATGGAGGCAGCGAAGCCGACGATGTCCATGCACACGCCTCCTCCGATGGCGATGACGGGGTCGAGGCGGCGGTCGATACCGAGGTCGTGGATGGCCTCGGCGATCTTGAGCACCATGTCCATGTTCTTGTGCTCCTCGTTCGTCGGCAGCACGAGCAGCCGGTGCTCGACGTTGTGGTGCTCGAGGTAAGCCTTGATCTTGTCGCCGTAGATCGCGAACACGTTGTCATCGACGACGACGACGCGCTTGACGGCGCGCGACAGAGCGCGGACGAGCGCGTCGACGTCGCCGTCGAGGAAGCCGAACAGGAGGTCGGTGCTCGACGGATCGAGGATGTCGACGCTCTCGCGGACCTTGTAGCTGAAGGTGATCGGCGACTCCACCGTCCACTCGGTCGCGGCGCCGGTCCGCTGCTGCGAGAGGCGGGCGTCCGAGACGACGGTCGCGCCGGCCACGTCGCCGCCGAGGCGCCAAGCGTCCTTCGGGAGCGGCCAAGAGGGGGGTGTCCAAGAGGGGGGGTGCAGATCATGACCGGCGGCATGTGCGCGGCCCAGCGGGGGGGCCAGGGACGTCATGAAACAAGAAGAGGCGCCATGAAATCTGGGGAGAGATCATGACCCCCGCCATGATGACATCCATCCCCCCCGTTAGTCATCACCCCCCCCTCTTTTCCGCCCCCGAGTCCTCATCCGCCGGCTTGTGGAGCTGCGGCCGGGGCTGCTCGGTCACGGGAGGAGGCGCCGACCTCTGGCGCTCCCGCAGGGCCGAGCGCGGGGTGCGCGGCGAGCGCAGGGCGGGGCGGGGCTCCGCGGGCGTGCGGCGCGCCTCGGCGGGCGCCGAGGGGGCGAAGGCCGAGCCCGCGCCGCCGCGGAGGGCAAGGAGGCAGGCGCTCGCGGCCAGGGTCGCGGCGAGGATCTTGCTGAGCAGGTTGCGCTGCGCCGGCATGTTCGGGGATGCGGAAGGGGCTGCGCGCGGTGGCAAAAAAGGGCTGAAGAAGGAGGGCGGCAGTCCGATCCGCAGACGCAGACGTGGTGCCCTGAGCCACAGGTGGAGGGAGGTGCGGCTTGCCTTCGCAAGGTTCGGCGTGTTCGTGTGAGAGCTGCAGGTCGGCTTGTCCTAGCGAACGCTTTGCCTACCAATGCTGTGTTGGCACGGGTTATCGCAACTTGTGTTCACTTCGGCGTTGCCTTGCCTGGGCTCGTCTAGGATAGGGAGGGCGAAGCCAAGGCAAAAGATGAGGAGAACAAGGGGGCGGACAGGCTAGTAGAGGAACGGAAAGAACGAGGACGAAAACGAGGAGAAGAAAGGAACGGAGAGTAGAGAAGCGACCAACGAAATATGAGCGAATCGCCAACGAGGATTGCAAGAGAAAGGGTATGTAAAGAAGAAGGCGGGACAGGACAGGACAGGACGGCACCAAAGACGTGTGCCCATGTGCTCGATGAGAAGGGAGCAAACATAAAAACCCAAAACAGTGTCTGCACTCAGAAGCTCTTGTTTCTCAAATGAGGAACTGGCCCTGAATGGCGGTATGGCAGCTATGTTGTCACCGTCGCCACCACGTCGCCGCCTCGTCGCCGCCCATCGTCTTGGCCTGAATAGCGGTCTGTTGGCTACGTTGTCGCCACTGGTGGCACCCACTAGGTTGCGCCACAAAGAGTTGCCGTGCGCTGCTTTGAAGTACGTTGCGTTGCCTTGCCTTGCTTGGCACTGCTCTGCATTGCTGCGCCTTGCCTCGCATTGCTTTGCATTGCTTCGCATTGCATTGCTTTGTATTGCTCTGAATTGCTCTGCATTGCTATTCATCGCATTGCTTTGCGTTGCGCTGTTGTGCCTTGCTTTGTGTTGCTTTGCGTTGCTTTGCATGGCATTGGTTTGCATTGATTTGCATGACTTTGCATTGCTTTGCATTGCAATGCGTTGCTTTGCAGTGCCAAACATTGCTGTCTTGACTTGCATTGATTTGCAGTGCATTGGTTTGCGGTGCATTGATTCGCATTGCTTTACTTTGCGGCACATTGCCTGGTTGTGCATTGCTGTGCATTGCAGTGCAGTGGTTTGCATTGCATTGCCTTGCCTTGTTCTGCGTTGCGTTGCTTTGCATAGCCTTGCTGCGCTGTGCTTAGCATTGCTCTGTATCGCGTTGCATTGCTTTGCATGCTTTGCACTGCTACGCCGTGCTTCGCATTTCTTTTATGTGTCCGTATGCAGCTTGTTCCTCCTCTAGAACACGAACAGCAGCTTCTCGATATGTTGAAGAGGAGTTGCTGTCGGTGCGGCCACGGGCGTTGTCCGTTGGAGGCATGCAGTCGCCCACTAAACAGCGGCTACCGTGGGTTTTGGACAGGCAGTGCTGCTGGGCACGATACAACGTTCCCCTAACAGTGCTTGCACTTAGGGGGTGTCACTTCTCCCTGTAGGACCTGAGGAAGGGGGGTGGCTGCCGGTCTGCCGGCTGTTGTCGCCGTCGCTGCCCTGTCGCCGCCTCGTCGCCGTCCGTCCTCCAGGGGGAGGCTTCTCGGTCTGGCGGCTATGTTGTCGCCGTCGCCGCCCCGTCGCCGCTCGCCGCCTCGTCGCCGCCTGTCGTCTGGGCCTGACCGTCGCTCTTGTGGCTATGTTGTCGCCGTCGCCGCCCCGTCGCCGCCTCGTCGCCGCCAGTCGTCTGTGCCTGATTGCTGGTCTGGCTGCTATGGGATCGCCGTCCCCGCCCCGTCGCCGCCCTGTCTCGGAGTGCCCTTGCTTTTCATTGCTGTGCATTATTTTGCATTGCTCATGATGATGATAATGATGATGGTGATGGTGATGGTGAGGGTGATGATGATGATGATAACGCTGGTGCTGGTCATGCTGGTGATGGTTGACGACGAAGATGATGACAGTAGTGATGACGATGCTGATGACGATGATGATGGTGATGAGGACATACGGGGGGCAGACGCAAGGGTGGCAAGAGGGAGTAGGGGGGAGAGGACGAGAGAAGGAGAGTGACGCGGGGCGCTGTGTCTTCAAAACGAAGACCCAACTCAACACAAAAGGGGTCGGAAGAAAGGATTAGCAGGACTTCCCATTGAATCAAGTTGGGCATGTGAGCAGAGAGCCAGGTGAGGGAGGCGGAGGGAGGAAGGAAATAAGGAGAGGGGAAGTGGATGGAGGAAAGAAAGGAACACAACGCAGGAAAGGGAGCAGGAGAGAGGAACCAAGGAGGAGGGAGGGAAGAGTAGAGAGGATGTCTCGTGGCCATCTCCCGGAGCGTTTTCTGGGGTGAGGCGTCTTCGAAAACCAGAGGGGGAGGAGAAGGAGAAGGACGAGAACCGGGAAGCAGGAGGGAGAGCAGTGAGAACGGACAGCGAGGGACGGGCTGGGCGGAAATACGTTCTGGGGGGGGGGGGGGGGGGGGGGGCGAATTTGGAGAAGAAAAAAAAGGATGCCCAGTTTTTTGTTTCAAGTTGGGAATCTGACCACTTCGTGGGGCAAAGAGCCGGGCGAGGGAGGCGGAGGGCGAGGAGCCTCTTTCTGGCCTCGCGGGCTCCTTTTCGAGCCTGGGTGGCCTCTTGGGGTCTCTTGGGCTCGCTTGGGGAGCCTCTTGCAAGCATCCCGGGGCCCTCTTGGGGATCGTGCGCAAGATTCTGAAGCGCATCGAAGGCGAAAATGCGAGAACGCTGAAACCATTGACTTCCTGCATGATTTTAGCCTCTGGAGGGCCCCCTTGGAAGTCACATGGGCGGTGTTGGGGGCCTCTTGGACGCCTGCCGGCACTGTCTTGGGCGCTCGTGGGGGCCTCGTGGCAGTCGGGAAGTCCTGGGCCGTCTGAGACCCTTTTGTGGGGCGTGTCGGATCGGTCCTGGGCCATGTCGGGGCCCTCCTGGTGCTTCACGGGAAGCCCGGGAGGGCGGCAGCGCACGCTGCACCACCTACATTGCACAACCTGCATTCCACAGCACAGAATGCACAGCATTTATTGCACAGCCCAGACTGCACCAGCATTTATTGCACAGCATCAATTGCACAGCATCTACTGCACAGCCCAACTTTCACAAGATGGGTTGCACTACACCGACTGGTTCGCATAAGCTTCTTTTGTATCGCAAAAAAAATAAAATTCTGCCCACCCACCCATCCGCAATATGAAATCAGACCACCTCTGGCAGTCCGTTGGCGCCTCATCCTTTGCAGGAAAATATTATGCGCGCCTTGGGTTACCAAGAGTCATCAGTTTTCGAAGAGTCATTGGCGAATCAAACATAAATCGTACACGCGTGCGTCGTCGCGCGCGCATGCCAAAACTGGAACAAATGCGCGTGCGGGCTCCTGCATTTTCACTCCAGGCTACCAAGCATACCCCTCGCGTGCGCATGTCCAAATTGTTCGACCACCCTCGCGCACGCGTTGTCGCGCGAATCCCCCGCAACAATGACAAACGAACATGCAGAGTTTGGGGGTTTCCAACCACCCTTCGAAAAGAATTCAACACCGAGCACCCCGAAACTATTTATTATTTAAAATATTTGTTTCAAAAAAAAAGTATAGCGAATTCGTGCAAAAGCAATGATCCCCCTGAAAAATACGCACGCGTTTGCGAAACAATCGGTTGTTCAACATGTTGACACATTTCGACCACACGGGCCTCCCGCGCCGCAGAGCGAAATCATTCGAACGCGCTTGCGCGCGCGCTGCGGGGGGGGCACGACCCCCGTCAAACAGTACCAAACGGGCAACTCGCACGCGTTGGCCGCGCGCGCATGTCGAACTCCTTCCAAAACCTACATTACCGACGCGAGGAGGTCATCATCGTCCCTGGCGCGCTCAGAATCGGCACCGTCATCGGGCTTGCCGTCGTCACCGCTACCATCGTCACAATCATCGCCACTATCATCATCATGATGTCCACCCTTGTTCGCGTCGCCCTGATACCGCGCACGCCCAACTCACCAAGTCGCAATGCAAGGCCCGCTAGGAAGTGCCCAGCGGTCTACGCCACCGCGGCCGCGTCGGTCGCGCCAAACTAACTGGTCACTGCGCGCGCGAGCACGCGCGGGCTAGCGCGGCTTTAGACATGCACCAGCCAACACCAAGCACACATCGCGATCGACGCCACATGGGTTTTTGCCCACCAGGTTACGGATGGGCGGGTGGCATATTTGCGCGAGCTGTGGCGCTGGCAATTTCAAGCTGTTCAATATCAGAATTACTCCGCGTTGATCGCACCACATAAATAGCAGTGCGTATATCCTTTCTAAGAAGAAAATAGAATCTACCCCCACCCACCCCTGGACTTAACGCTTCCCCCTGGGATAGTAGAACTTCATGTGTATATATATGTATATATTCTGCACACTCGTCCATCCGAAATATGAAATCGTATCATCCCAGCCAGGCCGGCTTCCCCCCCTGAGGTTTTTTTGCCAAAAAAAAACTATGCGGTGAAATTGTTTGTTCTAACATAACACTTGTTCACGAATCCCTTGCAAATAGTGAAACAAAGTGCGCACGCGCGCGTCGTCGCGCGTGCACGCCGAAATCCTTCAAAAATCTTCGGTGCGGGAAGGATTTCGCAATCGAGTTTCCAAAAACCATACAAAAACATAGGGTTTCGCAACACAGAGTTGCTAAAAAGACGCTTCCGCGAAATCTCCTGCGATTTTTTATATATTTTCTCTATATATATATATATATTATATAATATATATATATATATATATATATAAGTTTTTCAAGATTTTCACAAAATTCTACCAAACGGGCTTCGCGCGCGCTCATGTCGAAATCTGTCGAACACCCTTGCACGTGTGCCGTCGCGAGAATCCCCTGCAAAAAATGCGACGAAGTGCAGACGCGCGCGTCGTCGCGCGCGTATGCCGCAAACCTTGAAAACAGATGGGTTTCGGAAGGATTTGAAAGTCGTGTGCGAAAAAACCCTACAAAAACACCAGGCTTCGCAACACGGATGTTCAACGCGCTCTTGCGTCGTCATCGTCGTCGTCGTCGCCGTCCTCCCTCGTCCCGCGTCGTTGTCGTCGTCGTCGCCTACGTCGTCCTCTGTTTTTCCTCGTGTTCGTCGTCGTCGTCGTCCTCTTTGGCGTCGTGGTCGTTTCCGTCGTCGTTGTCGCCGTGGTCGTCCTTCCTCCTCCTCCCTCGTCGTCGTCGTCGT